GGTAGGAAAAAAAAACGGCGCCAACCCCAGAGGGGAGAAATAATTTAAAAAAGGAGATAATCAAAAAAACAAAAAAAGTAGCACTATAAATCCTACCTTTGCTTCTACAAGCATATAAATATGGGAAAAAAAGAACATTAAATGTGGAATGGAATGTACCTCCAGTATCTCATATAATATTATTATTATTACTATTATTGTTACATATATATTAGCAAGATTAAGAATTACATGTGTAAACTTTACTCAGGTCTCTGGCGCTTCACCAATCTCATTTTATGTTCTGAGCCTTCGTTCCTTGAAATCCCAGGAATGGTGTTTCCACAAGTTCCGCCACATTCCATAGCGCTAAGTAACTCATTTCCAAAAATGTCTTTGCCTAAATGAGGCAGATCAATGACCCACGGAATATCATTTGTATTAAGCTGAGCTTCACACATATTACCCTTCTGTTCCCGCATTTGAACGGTACTTGTGTACGGCTCTAAATGAAGAGGGTCATATGGTAAAAACAAAACCGGGCCTTCTGTAATCTTTTGTTTCTCTCCTGGATCAATATGAACCTCCACTAGGCCATCATGTTCAACTAAGGAGGGAATAGGTATCGGTTTAGAAGGCGTAATACTAAAGGGTTTCCCTTCCAGAAATTGTATACAGGAATCCTTTCCATATACAATTCCAAATTCATAAGATCTAATTGCTAATTGAGTTTCATTTTTTTGCCATTCGCCCCACGCAGCACGAGAAAGGTTAGCACTAGTCAAAATACACCATTTGATTCCATCTTTTTTCTCGGTTAGACACATGTACGTCTTTATATGTGGTAATGCTCTTCTTCTAAGACTTCCCTTTGCACAATACCCTCGATTACGTTGTCCCCAGCGATGTAAACGCTCGTTAATGAATGGATGACAAGAACTTAATCGCAAAGGTAACGCAATACCACCACGCCATCCTTCAAAGCTCTCTTTCACCTCAGACTCGGTTGGATACACAATTTGAACATGACACAAATGTTTCTTATTGGCCTCTTTATTCCCCTCTCCCTCTGACATTGCATTTTTCAATGCAATAAGAAAGGAATCAGTTAATTTTCCTTGTGAACTAAACTGCCATATTAATGAGGTCACATGTCTACCATCACTCGATTCGACACCTATATCCTGTAGCACCCTTGGTATTCTTCCCAGTCCATAAGAATTTATATCAGAATATCGATGATATCCTGGAATCGATGCTATAATATCTACACTGACAGAGTCAAAATTAATTTCATCAAACATGGAAATTGGAATAGAAACTTTACCCTTGAAATTAGAAAATATACCATAATGGTTTAAATATCGCAGGAGCTCACTTTTAAATCTATTCCCCCGATTTGTTATTCCATCAGAATATGTTGTATTTGCTTGCGCGCTTTTGAATAAAGTAGGAAATCGTGGAAAGTCCTGCACATAAATTCCTTGTGTTTTATAAGCCCAATCCTCGTGTATAAAATTTGCCGTAAATACGGCAACTCTAATACCTTTTGCATTCACACACAAAGCAAGCTTGCTGTGATGCACGCCAAAGGGAAGTGGCAATTTGGGTTCCACAATTCTAATTTTGTCGGGGTTCATCCTCTCAAAAAGGGAAGATGATTGAACATTTTTTGCATATCCTTTCTCACCTGATATGATACAAAGTAAGTGCTTCGTTTGTAACAACGATGGAGCTGCATGAACAAGCCAGTCGGTATCTACAATATAGTTTGCTAACAAGACATAACTCCAAACTTCTTCCGGATCATTCACATCACAGCACAGTAAATCGTCCAAGGTCAAAGCTGCAGAATCGTTGACAGAAAGTCCCTCCACTCTATTAACCCAAAAAGGACATGGCAACTTTCCCATTAGTAAAATTTACGTCAGTGTCCCGTTGACCACTACGTAAAGAAAAGAAAAACAAATCAACTAATTTATTTCCTTGGGTCATAAAAAAAAAGGATCTCTCTGCAAGACAACAAACAAGATAAAAAAATAATAATAATGATCATAATCATAATAATAATATCAAATATAAAATAAGACAAAACACCTAAAAAGCATTTTAGGTGTTTTGTAACAGTTGAACTCGGATACGCTCGGTAAGGAGCTATTTAAAACACAATCTGCAATACTAGTGGGAAAAACGTGGAAAAAGAAACTGGACAGCAACAAGATGACAAGAATGTATAAATGATAATCAGCGTTATTACTACTATCCTTCCTTTTTTTTTTTAATCAGCAACTGCAGTGTTGATCTGTGGAAGAGACGTTATCCTCATTTTTATCATTCAATTGCACCTTAATACCTCGAGGCCGTTGAGGTGGTGGTCTTAATCCCATTGAATTTAGCTTTGTTACTTCATTTTTAATCATTCGTGGTCGTGGGTGTAATATGCGATCTGCTTCGCTGATTCTATTGAGTACATTCGTCGCAATTTCAGTAAACGGCTCAGCTACATGAAGCCCTAATTTTGCACTCACACTGTAATGTTTTGCATGTAGTCCATTTGCCCATTCTTCTGCCTCCTTGACTGTGACGCGTCGTTGGCGCTCCAAATCAATTTTATTTCCAACTACTACTACCGATATGTTGTTATTACCAACCACTTGTTGAAGTTCCTTTAACCAAACTTTCACCTTTACAAAGCTCTCATAGTCCGTTATATCGTAAACGATTATGGCACCTTGTGCATCACGGTAGTATATAGGTCCTAAAGCATGATAACGTTCTTGGCCAGCTGTATCCCACAAAGAAAGCTTGGCAGTAACCCCATTGAAAGTACTAATATTGACGCTGGCATACATTGAGGCCCCAGTTGTAGATTCGCAGTCGTCCTGAAATGAATCACTAACAAATCGCTCAAGTAGGGATGTCTTTCCCACACGACCCTCACCCAACATCACTATTTTCATCGTTGTACTACTATTTTGCATTCGAGTAAAATCTAATTTGTTTTTTTTTATTCTTTCAAAAAGGTTAAAAGTAAAAAACAAAAAAAACAAATGGCTTAAAAAAATAATAAGCTATTTACATCGGATTCTTATGTTCGTACCTCTAGAATGTTTTAAGATACAACAGGTCCAAAACAGAAATCAAGCAACCCCCCCCCCCCCCCTGCATATATATATATATATATATC